TATTACTAATTTTTTCATACAATATAATTTGATCATATTATTTCCCATTACCAGCTCCTCCCAGATCTTCCCCATCTCCCTACCACCCCAAACTATTGTTGCCTTGCTCTGTCAAAATACAAATTTTTTTAAAACCCCCCCAAAAAAAAACTATCAACTGAGCAAATGAAACAATAGAAGTAAAAACAAACAAAAAACATGGACCAAAAAATATTGGCCAGTTACTCCTGGACATGGAACTTGCCCTGGGGTGTAGTTGATATCCTCAGTGTCAGCCCACTGAAGAAAACTGATTTTCCCTTGCCAGCAGGTATCAATCATAAAGAGTTTCTTGATTAGATGTAGGTCTTTGTGTCTACTTCTTCTCTGAGCTGGGATTTATCTAAGACTAGAGTTCTTATCTTGTATCTGTTATGGGTTATAATCCTTGGTCCTTAGAAAAATCAGTTTATGGAAACATCAGTTTTCTCATCTGTAAAATGTAGGCTACAATAGTCTTTACCATATAAATAGATAGCTCCTGTGACATAGAAAATCAGAAGCATTGTCCAATGAAAGGAGGCTTGTACCATTTCTTTTATAGCGTAGGAACCATGGAAGGCAATGAAGACCCAACTAGAAAACACAGCCAGTATTTTTTCCCATTTCCATTTGAGATATAGGCAATGAACCAAACAATTTAATGCATTCTTCTAAAAGCAGTGAAAATTGGTGTAAATGGTAATGGGGGCTTCACAGGTGCTTTTCTTTGCCTACATTCCAAACATGGCAAAGTCTTGCCAAAACCACGGATCTGCTTTGTTTTGGGATCTTTACTTTTCTCTTAACATTTTTCCATAGTTTGTAATCATTAATTCTTTCTTGTATGATGGATCATTATTTTGTTTTCCTGCCTTTTGGTTATACCATGTATATTGTTAAAGCATTTCATTGTTTCCTTTTTTATTGAAATTTGAAACAAGCTTGTTTTATATGTCAATCCCAGTTCCCTTACCCTCCCATCCTTACCTATCACCCCCACCTAACCCCAGCACATCCCCTTTCTGATCCCCAGGGAGGGTGAGGCCTTCCATGGGGAGTCTTCAAAGTCTGTCATATCATTTGTGGCAGGGCCTAAGCTCTCCCCGATTTGTCTAGGCTGAGAAAGTATCCCTCTATGTGCAATAGACTCCCATAGTCCATTCATATATTAGGCATAAATACTGATCAATTACTAGAGGCCCCATAGACTGCCCAGTCCTCCTAACTAACACCCACATTCAGGGGGTCTGGTTCAGTCCTGTGTTAGTTTCCCAGCTATTAGACTGGGGTACATGAGCTCCCCCTTGTCCAGGTCAGCTGTTTCTATGGGTTTCTCCAACCTAGTCTTGACCCCTTTGCTCATCACTCCTCCCTCTCTGCAACTGGATTCCAAGAATTTGGCTAGTGCTTAGCAACAAACTAAGCAATAGTGGAGAGGCTACATTAAATGTCCTTCCCCAATAATAAGATTGATGACTACCTTATATACCATCCTAGAGCCTTCATCCAGTAGCCAATAGAAGCAGAAGCAAATACCTACAGTTAAAGCATTTCTTATTTTAGTAGACTTTCCTTTTGAAGGCCTTTGTTCTCTGACCCTGCCTTGCCAGCTCAGATCCAAATTGTTAGACTAAGTGTCCTCTCTGCCCTTAAGTAGGGCTTTTTTCCTCTCCCTGCTCTTTTTCTTCCTCTTTTCTGCTCCAATTTTTCCTGTATTTTATTGGAGCCTTGTTGAAGCAACTTTTTAGATTTGGTTTTTGAAACTGAAAATGTCCTCTCTACTTGAATAATCATCTGGCTGTCTTCATGTTTAACTAATTATTAGACTAGATATACAATTACAGATTTAACAGAAATACCTTTAGAAAGTTGAATGCACACTATTTTCTTCTAATTTTCAGTAGACACTAGTTAAACAGTTGAGTATTCTAATGTTGCTGTTTTGACACAACTCATTTCCTGCCTTATTGTTACCCTGAGCTTGTTTACCTTCTCTTTACCTCAGGAGGAACTTCTGCCATTTTTAATGCTACCTTATATCATTTTACGTGAAATATCAAGGTGTAAATCTTTTTTTCATCCCCTATATTGGATTTTCCATTGACTAAATATGGTAACTTGCCTTTTTTCTATTTGTTGCAACATTCAGTGCAGACACTCCTCACCATCATCATCCTTTTACTTCTTTAGGGGATCCTGGTCCATTTTCTGAGAACTCTTAACTTTTTTCTCACATGTTTTTGTTTGTTTTCTATTTATACGTCTCTCTTAAATGATTGGAATATATTTTAATTTATTCCCTAAGTTTCTAATTTGGAATATAACACAGAAATCATAAGCATTAAATGTTGTAAGTTTTGTCTCTGTAGCATTCTCTTCTTGGTTTATTTTAAGCCATCCCTGGTTGCCCCCATGTTTCCCTTTTCTGTTCTATGTGATTTGAGTATTCCTGATGATCTTTGGCTGGTTGTTTAGTAAAGAATAAAAGTTTAGATGTCTAGCATTGGCTGTTTTTCTTAATGAAGTATTTTTCACTCTTATTGACTCTAACATGAACAATAATTCTTGAGTCAAGGCAATTTGTCTGTAAACACTTAAATTTAAGGGTAGTTGGAACAAGGCTAAGACTATGGGGATTCTCAACTCTAGAAGTAAGAAGGGATTTTATTAGGGGCCTAGTAGCCACATTATGGCTTCTAGTGTTTCCTAAGAATCCTTTTTGAACTTTTTTTTTTTTTAAACAACAGACAGATATTTTGTTTGTAGTTAAATACTGATGGCCTCTACTTTTACAAAGCTTGCACAAGCAGAACTAAATGAGATCAGCTATTTGACATTGAGAAATGCAACCCTCTGATTTTAGTCCTGTTTCTACTCCCAGTCTGTCTTTCTCATGACCACTGATTTTAAGATCAAAGACTTTGACGTAGTAAAGCAGAATAATTGTCATTCATCTCTTCTCAGTCTCCCAATGTGTAATGTGTTTCTGTCCTCCCTTACTGGGTAGGAACTAGCTCTGACAAAACCCTCCCATACAGTGCACTCCAGGAAAATGTGACAAGGAATTGAACTCTGCTATACTTCAGAGAAAGGAAAAATTCAAGCGCCAGTCATAAATTATCCTTGGTCTATAGAGGGCATATGGTAGGAAAATACTAAATGTGGCAGTGTCAGGCCATGTCTGGACACTGTCTTTGTCAGATGGCGTGCAAATAAATATTAATGTAATTCCCCCAAACATGCTTTGGTTGATTTGTTCTTGTGAAGTTCTCAAATCAAGAGTGGGCTGCAAATGGTGTAGCTCAGTGATAGAGTACTAGACAACATTCTCAGAGCCCTGGGTTCAGTTCCAATTCAGAGAGAGAGAGAGAGAGAGAGAGAGAGAGAGAGAGAGAGAAAGAGAGAGAGAGAGAGAGAGAGAGAGAGAGAGAGAGAGAGATTAAGAAAAAGAGTGAGATTAAAATGTAGAATGTCAAGCAGAGCTGGCTTTGATCTCTTATCCCATGCACCTCCAAGGTTGACTTGGCTAATCTAACTGTTTAGGTGGATGTCCCCTTCTTCTCTCATCATTCCATGTATGTTTCTCCCAAAGCTTCATACTACTGTCAAAGAAGATGGCCTTCCCTGATGGATGATGACAAGTTTTCAGTCAAGAGTACATGAATAGCTTTCTTGCTAGAACCTTCAAATACGTTCTCAGCGGACAGAAATGTTCCACTTTACTAACTCTTGCCAGGACTCCTACCTAATTTGCAAACCTGAAGCCTAATCAAAAGAGATATAAAAGACAGGCAATATACAATGAGGAAACACAGATAAATTTTGTTGAAACACATTCCAAAATGCTCACCTTGACCATTGAGGAGTGAGAAGCATCATCCTAGAAAAAAATGAGCACACAACTTTAAATGTGAGACCATTTTTGTGGCTGCAGTTGCATCTTCATGCCATCAGCCATGTGGCTTCTGCCAAACCTTTCCCAGCTTATTGTAGTTATGTGAAGAGTGGAAACAATAAAACCACTTTTAGTCATTTTTTAAAGTATTGCTAGAATCCTCTGTTTACAATGACTCAGTTATGTCAAATTTCTGTCAGTAAATATCTTCATCTCCTTAAACTGCAAGATTCAAGAGAGATGTGGTGGCTTTCCTAAACATAATAGCCAGCAAGTTTTGTGTATTATTTCGGGTTATGGAATCCTTACTTAGTTTTTGTTTTTGTCTGTTTTCTCAATTAAATCCTTACCTCAAGCCTGTGTGGTAAACATTATTATATTACAGTTGTGGGATATGAAGCTCCAAGAGGGTAAGTAATTTGCCCAAGATGGTTTTAGTAAAAAGTATAAATCCCAAGGTCCAAACACAAGTCTCCTTGACAGAGAAGCTTGGTCACTTAGCTTCTAGTACCACTAAAAGCCAAGGACAAGTGTCTGAGTTAGGATTTGACATATATTGAACTACATTTTAGAACTGTATAGTAGACAATGAATTGCAGAACTTGGGTTACCTTTATTTAAGGCCAGATTACTAACTTCACAGACATAGTTTCACTCTATGGTCATCGTGCTTTTTTAATCTTTTATTGACAGTTTTCCCAGATCTGGGTTTTATCCCTGAAGGTGTTTGTGATAGGACATGTAGCCCACTGCATGCTGATGTGCAGTTTGCAAAGTCACTGCCCATTTAAATGAAAGTGGGTTAAGAAAAGTTACATATGATATGGAGAGATGGCTCAGATATTAAAGGCTAGGCTCACAACCGAAACATCAAAAACCTCCTCCTGAACCCCAGCAAAACAAACAAGCAAAAAACAAACAAAATGCCAAAAAACAAAACAAGCAAACAAAAAAACATGGTACATGTGCAAGAGCATAAATAATACATGTAGAAAACCTTGGAGTCCATTGGAACCATTCATTACTTGAGTAATTAACTTCAGGGCCAGTCATTAACAGACTTTTTCATTCCTTCTTTTGACAGGTCCAGCTGTGAGATACAGCAAATTCAAGATGTCAGAGGCAAAGCCACCTCCCCTGTTGGGACAGCACACGAAAAACATCCTGAAAGAGGTTCTCAGATATGATGACAGGGCTATAGACGAGCTACTCAGCTCTGGTGTGATAGAACAACATGAAACTAAATGACAGAGGAGACTACATAAGAAAACTGGCCCTGGCTGGCCCAGAATATGGTCTGCGCATGCCTCTCCCTAGTCTTGATCCCACTGAATGGCAGAGTGAGAACTGCAGATTTCCTGCCTGGTATCTCTGGGGTAACTTTAGAATTAAAGTCTAGTGCCAAAGTTAAAACTTACTACTTTGACTTTTCCCCCAGAAAATAATGTTGGTCTGTGGACTTCGATTAATTCTATTGTTTCCATCCAGAAGAACTAATGACCATTTGGTGATGGAATACTGTTCTGATTTGACTCCTCCACAATGTACACATGTATGGGAAAATCACATTATAAACTATAGTTTTGATTTGTCAATTGAAAATAAAACAAAACATAAAAATATTTTTTCCAAAAAGCCCTCTTTATTCTAATTACCTTAGTGTCCTAAAATGTTTGCCTTTCCCCCATACTAGCCTGAGAAAAAGCAGAACTCTTGACGTTTTCTCCTTGTACATAAAGTTCTCATTTAAATCTTTGTTAGGAAGTCAAAGTAATAAGCAGAGTGACAACCTCTGTGATTGATTTTAAACCAGTATAACTTAATTTCAAGCCCACAAACCCTTTGTTAGTCTGTAATTTAAACCACGGACTTTGCTGATGTCTGTTGTAAGGCTGAGCTCTTTTCTGCCCATAAAGAGTAAATATTTGCTGTGTGTTGTATTTCCCTGGTGATATTGTGATGTGCAATGGAATACCGATTTCTACCTATTCATTTAGGGCATGAGTATTTGAGTATGTGAGAGAACATAATGGTTCCTCTCTTGCTACCAAATTTTGAGACATAGCCAAACACAACACACTTTAAATAAATATGAGGTGATCCCTCAGATGTTAAAGTGTAAAGAATACCAAATGGAGACACTATAGGGAGTATTTCTTTGTAATTTAAAGATCTCTGTATAATACAGTTTTATGTCTTTGTGTTTTGATTTGACAACAAATCCCATCTATAGAAAAAAAATCTGTCTTGAAGATAAAAATTGACCAGGATATATATTTTAGAATGAATTACCACAGAACACTACATAGATCAGGACATTAGGTGCTGCTTGGTCAGTGTCCTAATATGACCTCCACTCATGGCACACATACTACAAAGCATTGACATTATACGGTGGTAGTAACTGAAAGTAAAATTGTCTTTCAAACTGATTCAAAGCTAGTTTTCTTTTCATTTGGGATGGTTTGAATCACTTACTGGTTCTATAAGGTACCAAAATAAAAAAGGATACCAAGTAAAAATTATCTTTACAGAGTTTTCAGAGGAAAGTATCCTACTTTTTGGGACTCGCCCAACTACAGCTTTGCTGTTCAACCTGTTATACTCTGAAGAACCCCTGATATTACTCCATTAGATATAACTTTGTCATAACATAGTTTTATGCCTTCTGCATTCTTTTGCCTCAGTTCCTAATTATTAGAGACACATATGAGATGTTCACATTAAGCTAGTCATTTATATATTTAATTATTTTATGTATAAGAGTGTATTTCCTGCCTGTATATATTCATGTCATTTGTATACCTGATGCCTGTGGAGTTCAGAAGATAACATTAAATCCCCTGGAAACTAGATTGATATGATTGTGGACTCCTATGTGGTTTAAAAACTGAAAATAGGTTCTCTGCAAGAGCAGTGAGTGCTCTTAACATTCAAACCATTGTTCCAGCCCCCAACCCACACATTTATAGAAAATGTCTTTATAGTCATATTATTCACATGGAAACCAGGAAAAGGTTGGGTGACAGAATTGATAAAACCACATATCTTGAAAGCCAGATGCATCATTGTTCTACTGAAACATAAAATCTCAAAATGCAAATACTCCTCATTGAGCAATAATTCCAAGTATGTGAACACCCATATGTAATACTATTCTGTCATACATAAGGCCAGAAAGTACCTCTTAAATTTCAGGGTCAATAAAGACTGAAGTCTTAAAAAAGAAAAGGACCACCACTGAAGCATACCTATGCTTCTGGATTTCTACCTCCACAGCTTAGAATGATCTAAATGAACTTTGAATGCCTGGTCATTCATCAAACTTAAAGCATTTACTCCACTGATTTAAAAAAGAAGGAGGAGGAGGAGAAGAAGAAGAGGAAGAAGAAGAAAAAGAATTTCAGGCTACTTCAAATTCACATTATCAGTCCTGAAAGAAACACTGTGCTTACTAAAATTTTAAAATTTCTAGCAATATGCCCCAGATCAAATTATGCTTATAAACAAATGTGCTGTTTTAATTATCAGAGCTGGTTATCTTACACAGTCCCCAAAATAACACACTACTAAGATACCATATGTTCAAGTTCAACTTGTGTCAAGGCCTGCCTTCTGTAAGGTAATGTCTGTGATTGGTTTCAAAAACTCCTTGAAAATCAGTGAGTTAATTGTTCCAAAATTGAAGGTATGTCCACAAGCAAATGGGCTTGTTTCTTCCTGGAAAATTCCCTACCATAATTTACTTGTTATTCAACACATTTTCTTTTGGTTAAATAGCCTGATATGGTGAATGTTCTTTTAGCAGAAACAAAATGAACATTGATGAGTCTTGTATGAATGCTGGACTAACTCCCCATCTGATTTTGTGCTCGAGACACCCAATGGTATGAGAAATAAGTCATGATAGGAGAAAACAAAGGGGGTCTTATATTGGCTGTTTGATATTACAACCTTAGACCACTGTTCTCAGATATCACTCTATGAGAGGATTTCTAGTGAAGATCTCACAACTTTAATTTTTAAATCTAACAGAAATGTTTACCCATTTGTACATCAGTTAAATTTGATGTTACACTTCTGACTTGTGTCTTACCTTTAGCAAGTTGCCTAGTTTAAAATCTGTGTAGGCAGAGGGTATAGTTTGGTGGTAGAGCATAGACTAGCATATATGAGACCACAGGCTTACTCCTCAGTACTACAAAAGCAGATCATTAAAAGCTATATAGATGTGAGTCTTACTAATTATCCTCCTATAGGATCTAGAGCTGCCTTCTTTGGGAGAGCCGATTCTCTAAGTTATTGCCCCAAAGAATCTGAGAAGGAACGGTAGTTTCAGGACTCCTGAGACTGCTAAAGTCAACAGTCATGATTGGTGGGATTTAAACTGTTCTGTCTAGTACTAGACTTGGGCTTGGCCTCAATTTTTCCTGCTCTTTCTAAAAGAAGGCAAACTCCAGATCATGAGTAATCACTTTAGTTCGACGGCCTTCAGGAGGATGGATGATGCCTTGCCATCACCCTGGCCCTACTGTCATAGATTGAAAGGATCATCATATTCTTTCAACAAGGTATGAAACATTTCCACACATTCCTCTCCCATATTGTTTTTCTTTGCAAATCAACCCTGTGACTGTCTGTTGGTTTCTTTGGTTCTTACCACATCAAATGGAAGAATGGTTTTCGGGCTCCTCAACCTGTCACCACCACCACTTCCTCCCCTGCCCCAAGCAGCATAGGGATTACTCAATTGTGGTATATTCAGCCTCAAAACATGCAGCAGAGAAATTGGGGGAAAAGAAATAAAGTAAAACTTCCTCAGGAAAAAAAAAAGTTATTTCTATCTCTTTACCTCCTGTGTACCCTAAAGAAAGAAACAGATTTTCTAAGTATCTCTTGATATGAGAGATGTGGCGACATTTATAACACAGTCACCCTGCTAGTCTTGGATTTGTGTTTTTAGAAAAAATTCCTGACCGTATTTGGTACGTGCTTTATGCCATGGACTGTGAAAGGATATTGAGCTTCTTCCTTGGAGAAATTGTAGAGAACTGATGGTTTCCCTTTGAGGGAGACAGTTCACTACTTATTCTGGAAATAGGAAAGAGAGCACTCTGCTCCTTGTCTGAGTGGGATTGCCCTATATAAGACAAACATGCACACAATGACACTGACACTGCTCACAAATTCTCTAACCCACAATTCCAATGCTGGAAACAGTGCCTACTATCCTGAGAGCCTTCTCATCCTGCTTTGCTAATTTGTGAAATGGGAAAGCCTGGGTCAACAGCAGAATCAAATGTCCTGTTCTTAAGACCACATCAGAATTGGAAATATTCAGTAACTTCATATTCCAGCTCTGATCTCCCGATTCCTATCTTCTGAAATACAAATGTTTTGTGTCATTCTCCAGCTTTTTTATATTATATTTTTATTTAAATTTGAAACAAGATTCTTTTACATGTCAATCCCAGTTCCCTCCTCCTCTCCTCCTCCCCTGTCCCCCCCAACCCCAACCCCTTCCTACACCCCAAGGAGGGTGAGGCCTTCCATTGGGGATCTTCAAAATCTGTCATATCATTTGGGGAAGGACCTAAGCCCTCTCCCATATATCTAGGCTGGGAGAATATCCATCTATGTGGACTTCCAAAGTCCATTTGTATACTAGGGATAAATACTGGTCCACTACCAGAGACCCCATAGACTTCCCAGTCCTCCTAACTAACATCCATAATCAGGGGATCTGGGTCAGTCCTATGCTGGTTTCCCAGCTATCAGATTGGGGTCCATAAGCTCCCCCTTGTTCAGGTCAGCTATTACTGTGGGTTTCGCTAGCCTGGTCTTGACCCCTTTGTTCATCGCTCCTCCCTCTCTGCAACTGGATTCCAGTTCAGCTCAGTGTTTAGCTGTGGGTGTCTGCATTTACTTCCATCAGCTGCTAGATGAAGGCTCTAGGATGGCATTTAAGGTAGTCATCAATCTCATTATCAGGGAAGGACATTAAAAGTAGCCTCTCCACTATTGCTTAGATTCTTAGTTAGGGTCATCCTTTTAGATCTTCGGACATTACCCTAGTGCCAGATTTCTCTTTAAACCTATTATGGCTCCCTCTATTATGTTATCTCTTTTATTGCTCTCCTCTATTCTTCCCCTGACTCAATCTTCCTGCTCCCTCATGTCCTCCTCTTCTCCCCTTCTCTTTCTACCAATTCCCTCTCCTCTCCCTCCCTGCACCCAATTTGCTTGGGAGATCTTGGTCCTGTCCCCTCATCAAAGGGACAATGTATGTCTTTCTGAGGGTCCTCCTTGTTTCATAACTTTTCTGGCAGTGTGGATTGTAGGCTGGTGATCCTTTGCTTTATGTCTAAAATCCATATATGAGTGAATACATACCATGTTTGGTTTTTTGTGTCAGGATTACCTCACTCAGAATGGTTTCTTCTAGTTCTATCCGTTTGCCTGCGAATTTCAAGATTCCATTGATTTTTTTCCTCTGAGTAGTACTCTATTGTGTAAATGTACCATATTTTCTCCATCCATTATTCAGCTGAGGGGCATTTAGGTTGCCTCCAGGTTGTGGCTATTACAAATAATACACTGCTATGAACATAGTTAAGCAGAT